GGACATCTGAAATTTGAGGTTATGTTTTGAATTTTACGTATAATGAAGCAGCTATTTTAAAAACTTTTTTTTTATTGTAATGCAATTGAAAATAGATGATAAGTTTTATTGATATAACAAGACACTACTTTTAACATCTGAAATTAATTTACTTCATGACAAAATTCTTAAAAGTTTATTAGTTATTGACTGTTCCACTATTGGGACAGAATCAAAAAGTGCGTCCCAGCATCGGTACTTTTACCTTATTATAACGAAAAATATTGAACGGAATGATGGAATAAGTATCAGTAGGGGTAAGTGTACGTATCTCCGTGCTCTGCCCTATTACCGTGGATTTTGAAAAACTGATGATTACTTGCTCAAAATAAGAAATGTTTCATATAAAACAATTTTTCAATTTTAATAATCTAAAATGACGTTAATGTAGATGCAATTCAAACAGAAATATTTGTATATATTTTGAGTAAATAATTATTTTCCACGGTATTCGGTACAACGCGCTCATTAACAGATTGTGTACGTATTTCCGCGGTGAGCGTACTTAAACATAACCCTATCAGTTAACGCGTAAACAATTAGTAGGTAAGCACGTCGATCTAACGTAACCAAGATGAAGAAAACTAAAAAAGGCAAGAAAGGCAAGAAATCGATCGAAATAAAGAAAAACAAAAAGTGTTACTCTCCAGAGACATTAAAATTAGCTTTAAAAAGTATCTATTCTGGAAAATCTATTGCTAAGTATAAGATGTATATTAAATGTAGATATATTAGATGTATTTAAAATGTATAAGATTCCTACTAAATGAATAAGCAAGTACAAAAAAAAGTAATATTTTTTTAAAACAATAAATAAGTCATGTAGAAAATGTAGGTGAAATTTGCATTTTTTTTTTATATTCCGCAAATACAACTTTCTTCACCCATGGTAATACGGACACGGTGATTGGGACATCCGCGGTAATACGTACACAGTAATAGGTACACAACCACGGTAATACCAGCATACCGTTTTTATTCGTTTTAGAAATATTCTACTGCAGTTTCAGCTTCATAAAATTTTTTTAATATTCCGTAAGAGATTATGTAAGATTAAAAAAAAAAAATATTCCAAAAAATTTTAGTATACCATTTTTTATGGTGCATTTAAGTTGGAATTTTCAGTACGTGCCACGGAGATAGGTACACTTACCCCTAGACTAGCAATGTCAGTATTCGGAAAATATTTAGGTTTATAAAGTTCGTGCTGTTGTAAGAAAAGATTAATTTTTCACCAAACCCCCCGCCAAAAAACGACGTATCTTTTCTGCCTTCAGATACGTTAGCACAACACTCTTCCCAGGTAAAAACTAGCATTATCTGCTAATTGAAAAGTATTTGCAAAAGTACGCTGCATGGGACGAAAGTAGGGCATCGACTTCCAGGTGCTTGCCTCCCTTGCCTTCGTCTCCGGAGGCAGTTACACACCTGGGGGGGAATGCCGAACTTTGGTCTTTTGTTATGACGTAACATACTAATTTTTTCTTGAATAATTGTAGGGTAAACTTTTAGAACTTTTTTTTTTCAACGAATCTGATCAAATATAAACCTTCGCATTATATTATAAAACCTGTGCATTTCTTACTGATTAATTTTTTTATTTACAACTTAAGAATCCTTAATTTTTTGTTTCACTAAGTATTTTAGATGCAATGCAATTTGTCTGCGTTTAATGGAATCCACGCACCTGTTATTTTAAAGACGTTTATGAGTACAGCAGTTAAGTAAAAAAAAAAAGTGTCAAACAAATAAGTTCTACCGTTGCACTATATTATAATAATGAGTTTTCTGAAAATTCGTTCTTTGTAATTGTTAAAAATTGTTTATCACTTCCATCAGGCCAGCGTTGCCAAGTGTCATTATCAGCTTTCTGACTCTTCGAGCACAAAGCATGCCTATCAATACACCATTAGTTACGTATCTCTTTCACAACTATAAATGTGTGAGGGTATTAAAAATAATCTATTAAGCTGAAACTTATTCATTTACAACTATTCAACCGCGTAGATCATACTTTTGGATCTGACTACAGGAAAATAGATTTAAAAAGACTACATACATCATTAAATTATTTTGCATGTATTTATATGTACTTGCTAAACTTTAGTAGCGTTAGAAAATAATTCAAAGTAGAATTCTAAATTATTTCAAGTATAAGAAATATATCATATAGAAAAAATAGTGACCATAATTAATAAACGCAACGTAATAAGTGTTAAAACTACGCCAACAATTGATTGGAAATCCAGAACTAAAAGGTAAGATGTTGTTTTAATATTAATAAAAGTAGTTGTTCAATACCAAAATTAAGTTTTGTTTTATATGAAATTAAAAATATTAATAGCTTGGAGAAAAAAAGTTCCAAAATCAGTTTGTAAAAAGTGCTTATCTTGAATTTGTTGGAGAAAAAGAACTATCTCGGAAATATATTTTATTTGTTAAAATTTTACAGCGTCACCACCGCAGTTGTAAGTAAGAGAGAAAAGAATCACATGAACTTAAATACGTCAATAATTTGTAGCTTGCTACCATCACGTATAAAAGATAACTAAAAAAATTTCTTCATTCCATTGTCTAACGCGATTATTTTTTGACGGTTAAAGAAAACATTTTAAAACACGTTATTCTTCTTGATGATTTAAAAAGGCTGTTCTTTCCTAGAAAGTCCAAAATAGCACTTTTTTTCAACAAATATAACACAGCTTTGTCTTGCCTCGAATCCTTAATATTTAGATGACGTTATCAAATAGCATGTTTTTGATTTTCCTGCCAACGCTCTTACGTGTACGCAATGACTGGTCTGCTTTTTTGAACATTATTATACTTGAAAAAAAAAAACTTCAAATCTTAAATTATTTTGATTTATCTCAAATACAAACGTACGAATTTTTGAGATATTATTTTTTAACATACAAACTTCGAGTAACTGTCAATCTATGAACGTGAAAATCTTTTATATAAATATAATCTTTTTTGTTGAACTTTTGATATTGTAATTTGTTGACATTCAAAAGTAAGAGATACAATACGTCTTGACTTTCCAGCTAACAAAAAATCTTCGATTCATCTACGAAACACTTCAAGATTTTCTTATCATGTCTCGAACAATGAAAAATAAAAATAGATAAGCCAGTAATTTCTCTGTGATAAAAGCTCATATTCTAAACCAACACTTAGAAAATTGCATGCTTTCCTTTTCGTTTGAAACAGTGGAAAAAATAAAATGATCCTGCCATGGCAACCACCTTGCCCTTTGCGCCTATGGTTGTCAGATTCTTAAAAAAAAAGGTTTCGGGTGGGGGATGAAACATTATATCAATGCAGCAACTGAAAATTATCAAGTATAAACTACATAGTTTTAAACAGCAACACATAGTTATCTAAACTTCTTACCTACATTTAACTATAAAACATCGCTTTACTTATAATAATAACCCACATGGAAATAAAATGTTGGAAAAATTGAGGCAAAAATTTTATTGGCAAATTGTGGCTAAAGAATTGGAGCCATAATTATCCGAGATTCTCAAGGAAAAAGATTCTAATACAAAAAATGGTTGGGTTACATAAAAAAACGTACATAAATAATTTTACGGAAAACATTGCATTCCGTCATTTATTTAAATAAAAAAGTTTGACTTGCGTATATTCCTTAATGGAATTTTCAGTTTATAGAAAAAATAAGAGGTAAGTATTTTTTATTGAATTTTATTATAATTAAAATATTATTGATTTACTGTAAAATTGAAATAATTCATCACTTTGTTATAAAAAAAAGTAATTATTCATTTTCTAGTAAATTTACAGGGTTCAGCTATGTACATTTCATCTGTATCTTTTATATAAGTGTAAAAATAAACACATTTTAAACACTTTACTTCTACACTTTTGAATACATTTTGAAATTTTTATCTGTAAATATATCTATGAACTGTAAACTGAACACCTATTTTTTAATAAGTTTTCCTTGATCATCATTTTCCTAGAGAAGCGAGAAATATTGTGGCTCCAAGTCTTGAGCCTCAACGTTGCTACAGCTTTAGCTGCAATTTTGCAACAACATTTTTGCCACAATTTGGCCAACATTTTATTTCCACGCAGTTACGGGCATGTATAACCAAACAAACTGCTAATCAGTCATGTGTAATTTAATCCACTATATTTCTTAACCCACAACTTGGAAAGTCTCAAACATTCTCATATTTGTAATTTCAACGAAAACGTCCAAAAGGAACAACTTTCCGGCTCAAACTTTTCTGGTAGTAGATCAATCAGTTTCTATTTTTCAATATATTAGACTTGAACAACGTTTGAAATCATACTGTCACGATTGCACACATTGAAGAGGATTGGTCAATAACCACAGTCTTCGCTTTGAGCACAATTCCGAAATCGCTCTTTCACTGGAGACTTTAAAAACGATTGGTCGTCATCAGAAAAGGTAATTGTTATAAAATTGAGCTTTCGGCTCCATTCACCAGGTGGCCAACCCTTAAATGTCGCTTTTCTACAAGCATGTGGAAATCAATCCATAGTACTGTCCTTTTCTAATCTCGACCAATCGTTCTCAAAGTGCCCAGTGGGGGACGCGATTTCGGAATTGCGCTTAAAGCGAATACTACTGAGCTCTTTAAATAACGAGGGGGGGGGGGTGCAGAACCTTCTTTCTTATCCTATGTCCACTAACCTTGAAAAATAAAAATATTTATATAACTATGATAATTTCAGACAAAACTGACACATAATCGAGTTACAAAGCTTCTAATACATAAGTAAAAATTTCTTTTTATATATGTTAAACAGAGAAAAAACTTAGCAACTGATCTGCCATCGTCATCAATTAGGAGAAAGAAGATGAATGTATAAAAAATCCTCAGAAATAACACCAACAAGCCACTAATTTTATAATCGATTGAATTGAAGCTACCTCAGACTCATGTAATATACTATCATTCACGAACATGGCCGAAGTCCGCAGTTCCCATTTTTGCGATGGATTCGACAAAAGTTGCGGAATAAGTAAAGATCTCAAAATGCACGAAGATACTCATGCAGATAACAAGTCTTGTAGTTGCCAGGAGTGTTACGAAACTTCTATCACGAAAAGAAACTTCACAGTACACGGACTGACTCACACAGATGACAACACTACCTCATACGGCTGTCAACAGTGTTCAAAAGTTTTCATGTATAAACGACATCTTATAAGACATGAACAGATCCATGCGGTTAAGGAGTCCTACGTCTGCAATTTGTGTTCTAAAAGTTTTACTTGGAAATCACATCTTACGAGACACGAGGAGGTCCATGATGGCAATAAGCCCTACGAATGCAAAGTTTGTTCGAAAAATTATACCCGAAAAGAATATCTTACGATACACGAGCGAAGCCATACAGGTGATAAGCCCTACGACTGCAAAATGTGTTCAAAAAGATTTACTCAGCTATCACATCTTACGAGACACGAGCAGGTTCATGAGGGCAATAAGCCCTACGAATGCAAAGTTTGTTCGAAAAATTATACCCGAAAAGAATATCTTACGATACACGAGCGAAGCCATACAGGTGATAAGCCCTACGACTGCAAAATGTGTTCAAAAAGATTTACTCAGCTATCACATCTTACGAGACACGAGCAGGTTCATGAGGGCAATAAGCCCTACGAATGCAAAGTTTGTTCGAAAAGTTATACCCGAAAAGAATATCTTACAATACACGAGCGTAGCCATACAGGTGATAAGCCCTACGACTGCAAAATGTGTTCGAAAAGGTTTACTCGAAAATCAAATCTAATAGTGCACCAGCGGATTCACACGGGTGATAAGCCCTACAAATGTAAACTATGTTCAAATAGTTTTCTTGATAAATCTCGTCTTATACAGCACCAATTGATTCACACGGGAGATAAGCCCTACGAATGCAAACTATGTTCAAAGAGGTTTACTCAGCTATCACATCTTATGAGACACGAGCAGGTCCATGAGGGCAATAAGCCCTACGAATGTAAAGTTTGTTCGAAAAGTTATACCCGAAAAGAATATCTTACGATACACGAGCAGAATCATACAGGTGATAAGCCCTACAGCTGCAAATTGTGTTTAAAATGTTTTACTCAGCTATCACATCTTACGAGACACGAGCAGGTCCATAAGGGCAATAAGCCCTACGAATGCAAAATTTGTTCAAAAAGTTATACCCGAAAAGACTGTCTTAAGAGACATGAGCAGATTCATACAAGTGATAAGGTTGAGTACGAGAGCAAACAATGTTCAAAAAGTTTCACTCAAAAACAATACCTCATGGAACACAAGCAGGTCCGCGAGGCAAACAGCTGTAAACAGAATTTAAATATTTTCTCTGACAAATCCGATATTGCACAGCAGGAGCGGACTCCTATCGCCGATTCACTGGGTGCGACTATGATGCTGCCCTCATTTTCCAGTGTTTTTCCTATTAAATCTTTTGGAGTGAGATTTGTTGAGGAAACAGGCGACAGTGTTTTTCCATAATTTGTTCATAATAGTACGTATAAAAGTGATACTCAGTCCTCTTAAAAATGAACACGACACTCAAGTCAGCCCCCTACTCCAACGCATGGTACACGTAATCCTAGAACTATACTTAATAGACCTTTAAACAAAATTAATAATTCGTTTTTTTTTAGACTTTTTACTTATTCTAACTTGTAAATGGAAAAAGGTATCATAAAAATAACGTTAGCGGGATGACTTCAACACTACCTGCCAAGTCATCATGTTTAAACTAAGGTCATAGAGAATTGGACGCACATATACCTATTAATATGTTTGGTACTTTTGTTATTACCATCTAATTTATTACACATACTGAAATTCTAATAAAAAACAAAATTCATCTTTCGGTCTTAATATTTTGGTTCGCAAGATCAAGAGAAAATTAAAAATGAAGAGCTTATAATTTTTGAAGACCTGGTAGAAAGAAGTAGATTTATGTATATTAGCTAGGAGAAGTTCTGTGAATAATTAGTGAAAAATACATTACGGAAGAGATAATCTATGTAAAAAAATTTGGAGTAAAAAAAGTCGTACATAAAACAAACGTTTATGAAGATGAATAACGAAAAAGGTGAAACATACAAAAAATATACGAAACGTATGAAATGTATGAAAAACGTATCTTAAAGAAGAGAAAAAATGAAGATTATTTTGTAAAGTTAAAAAGATAAGGCGTTAGAATTCACGAGAAACTCATCTTAAATGTTCTCAAAATAAGAATAGCATATGGAAACGCACTACAGAGTTACAAAGAATATTATAAGCATTTTCAACAGGAGTTTAACAAAATTAAGCGGGATAAAGAAATATATACCAGAAAAAAGACATGGAAATAAATAAAATCTCTAGTTAAATAAAACCGAAGGCGACAAATCTCCGAAGAGGAAGAAAGCATCAAGAGTGCTTTAGACGTTTAGCAAGATTTAAAACTAATGTAAAAATACTTAATCTATTTACTGTTGTTTAATAGTAGTTGTCAAATAATATAAATAATAATGTGGGTATTTACAAAAAAAATTTTCAATTCTACACCCCAATACTGTGAAAAGATTAATGTGTTACACTGTCATTCGCCTTACATTGAAATGCGTACTTATTCATATGTATACAATAAAAAAAATTGAATTTATTTACATGTATTTTTGTGTTAAAACTTTCTTCTAATATATCTGAAATACCTTATAAAAAATTTAGTTCCAAAGTATTAATTACTGTTATTTTTCACCTTTTAGAATCTTAGGAACACATTATGAAGAAAATTATACTTGCATTAATATCAATTTTTTAGGCACGTCTACTTCACAGAAGTGCTTTATGTTTTTGACAAAGCAAAACGTGTACTGCTACTTATAAAGATGTATAAATCGACTATCTTGAAAAGTTTCAATCCAGTATGATTCAAATTTCGTTTGTAGCTTCATTTTTATACTACAAACTGACAACTTCAAATCCAGAAAATTTGGTCAATGTAATCGATTAAAAATTTTGAAACGCAAGTTAATGAAGTATTAGCAAATCCAAAAACATGTCCATAACAATAAATAATGTTTGTAGTACAATGACTTCAAATCGATTGATGCATTTTTTACAGAGGTACAGCGATTTAAATTTAAAAAATCAAGAATTTTCAGTCGTGCAAGTTGTGCACTATTAAATTTTTATCTCGAAAACTACTCGTTAAACAAAAAAAGTTCAAATAAAAAATAAATACGTTTTTCAATTCTTTATAGGCTACTATTTTTTAAAATTGATTTGGTAACTTTTGGAGTTTTTGTTGCTTGACAACATTTTTCAAAGGCTCCGAGCACGAAGCCAGCTACTCGATCGAGTCCGCAATTTGCACTTGTCAAAAGGATCTAACAAAAAAAAATTTTGAAAAATTATTGACTGTTAACGAAACTTGAAACGCTTATAGTTAAAATTTTAGGTTTCGAGTGACTTCAAAGAAAATCTAGAGCCCATTGTTACGTAGGATTCTAAAGGTTCGGGGTGCTTAATAACAACGCGGCAGTTAAACTCAATCAATCACTTTATTGCTATATTCCTTGAGAGAAGGCGCTTTGCGGTCCCGGGTGACTTATTGCGACTATACTCCTTCTAGTCCCGACGTTCAAGGGCCCTGTGGCCACTGCTGCGAGACTTTTTATGCTCTCTCTTCCCCCACTTGTGCTCCTTCCTAATACTAATAGCTGAAGCCCACCCCACGTAGTATGTTCCATACTGTACGTGAATTGCTCATTCCGTATTATTGTAGTACTATATTATGCGAAAGTTTTAAGCCGTGTTGGATTAAAAAATGTGCATTAATGAATGTGCAACGCATGGTCGAATTTCGTGAAAAACCTTTTTTTTCGAAACTTCGTGAATTTTTTACTCGTAAACGAAGGGTTTTACGAAAAAATGACAAGAATACTTTTTGTCTTAAAATTGGCCAAAGAATCTAAAGAAAATTTCTTATTTGTTTATAAAAAATGTTCATAACAATTAATAGGCCAACTTTACAGCCAAGTTCCTTCGAAAATCGGATTCAGTGCATCAAAATACATAAAAAATACTTTGGTGCAGCCATGAACCTCCATCGGCTACGAAAAGTACCCTGCCTCCCGGACTACTTCTTGCTGACAGTAATTCCAAATTTTATATCACTTACGCATTCTTTTCGGTGCCAGATCATATTTTTTTCGGACTTTAGAAACATTTGATAAATTATTACAAATAATTGAAAAATCGTCCATGATTTTTACAAGTACATTTAGATTGGAAATCACCGTTCAAATCGGTTGATATAAAAATTTAATTTTCGACCAAAACGTCACTTAAAGACGTTCATCACACATAGCGTTTTCTGTACATTCTTGCTAAAATTTCAACAGGATTCTCGTAATGATGTTAGAAAGTCACACGTAAAATTTGAGACCGTTTCACAACACCGTTTTTTACATATTTAATGTTGAAAAAACTTCAATTTAACACGTAACCTTATAAAAAAGTCACATAAAAATGTAATTCATGAGAAAGTAGTTGGTAGAATTCGTCCAATTTGTTTTTGTATGAAGCAATACCATAAAACTGATATTATACTGAATTTTCAGTGGGATCGACAAGTTATTTTACAAATGCATTCAAAACAGTTGCTGGCGCTGCTGAATTCTTGCTCCCCCCTCACTGCACTCTTCCTTCTCTGGGAAGAAAGTCATTAAAGACTTCAGACAGCACAATATTAAAGAATTGTTGTTATTTTTCAAGTCAATTTTCTACTAAACTTCAGAACTAAATATGTTCTTTTTGAATAACTAAAAGAGATAGAGATAGATAAATATCTAAAGGGGTAAGTGCATTTAATTTCTTTCTTTCGAAGAAAATTACGCCGAGCAAAAGGCATAAGTACGATTTTTCAAATTTCCCGCTGGAAAATCGAATTTTTTTTACGATTACTGCAAAAAATCGTGCCATATTTACCCTAAACTCATTTTTCCTGTACGTAAAATATTTCATTTTTTTATCATATTTGAAAACAATTGGGTGTTTCGATTTTCTTAATTCTTCATAAATGCATTCAAACATGCATTTAACGGCATTCTTCTCTGGGACGGCAGTAGGTATAATTTTTTTGAGTAAGCATTGAAAGCTTAATATATTTTCCTCGCATATCGCGAAGTGTCAGCTTAACAACACAAACTAAAATTAAATCTATAAAAAAAGTTTCTTTTTTAGTTTACAAAGTTGATATGTTCCTTTTAAATATATCTATATTATTCTTCTGCAATAAAACAAGCAAAAAAAAAAAAGTTACACGTTACTTTTAATTCAACGCAAACTAAGTTTTGATACGTATTAAAACTTTATACCAGAAAATTTTTTTTACTCCAAGCCCTGCCGATTTTTTTTTCTTTGAAAAAACCTATTAAAATCTTAAGCATCAGGTACAATCATAAAACAAAAGTCATCCTACGATTTTAGGCTGAATCAGATCATAATTACTCAAGAAAGTCTAATAACTTGATTACGTACACACATTTCACCATATACATACATAAAGAAATGAACTCGGACCACACTAATAGTAAAAATGATTTTAAATATCAAGACATGCTTTTTATCTGAAAAAAATTTAAAGCACTTCTGTATGACTTTATGTCAATAAAAACTAAAAAAAATACTAGCCGATTGTACAGCAGAAAATGTACTATCAAATCGATACTTTTTTACTTCTTCATCAATATGTCAGTACTTAGTCAAGTATTTGAAAATTATTTTAAATTTTTAAATTTCAAAGCAACAAAACATTTTTTTAAACCACTGATAAAAAAAAAGTGTCTGTCTATCGAAATGTACATGCCTCATATTTAAAAGCCACTTATAAGTCAATTAGGTAAACGAAAAAAATATAGACGGATAATACATCGAACAACGCTTGAGGACATTAGATTTCCAATTTGTCAATCCAACGTTGCCAAGAAAGATAACGTACGTTGTTTTAATCTACAAGCACAAAGCATTTCGTTTTATGCATCATTATCAATGTCCCTCTCATCATTTAAAATTTAACACAGTAGAATATTGTGTTCCGTGCTCGATTGCAACCGCATGCGTTCTCTTAGTATACGTGCTACAACTATTTAACCACATTAAACACAGTTTTAAATTCGTCTACGAGAAAATAAATTCAAGTTGACAGTATTGAATTATTACAAAAAAGTTGGATAAACATCTATGTACTACGGATTTACATGTACTTATAATATATCTATGTATTTATCAAACTTCAGTAACGTGTAAAGAGCACGTAGTTAGTTAATAGTTGAAAAAATTTCTATTATTTCACAAAGAGTCGGATGCATAATTTATTTTAAGGGAGATATTAACCATAAAAATTGCTCGTAAAACATTAAACATTCAGTTTCACAATTAAAACTCTGGAAATCAAAGGTAAGTTTATCGTTGTATGGATGAAGTAATTACTTATTATTTGATAA